CTCGGCTGGCTTTAGTTTTTTTTTTTTTTTTTTTTTTTTTAATGCACCAGAGGGTAGAGGTTTGTCCAGGAGGAGGAGGAGGAGGGATCAAGAGGTACTTGAGCTTTTCTGCTCTGGGCTAGTGAGGAGCAAATCAAGGGTTTGATTCTGCTGTCAGCGGGCCGGTGTCGTCCTCTGTCTCGAGGGGCTGCCCTGGCACCCAGCAGAGCCCCAGAGGAAATTTGGATTCGCAGGTGCCTAATGAGCAAACCCGGTGTCTTGCACAAGGCCAAGCAGAGCCCCTTCCTCGGACTTTCATTTCCAGACACAGCCCGTGCAGATGCCGTTTGAAGCGGGTCTGTAGGACGTTTCGCAGGTCCAGGTTTGTGCAGACAGAGAGAACTAATTAAAGAAAAAACCCTGGCCTTTACTCCTCGGATGGCAACGCCGCGAGAGCAGGGAGCCCTGCATAATATCCCATGTCCAAGGAGAAGTGCGCTGTCCTCTCCTGTTGGTTGGCCAACTCGTAGAGTTCATGGCCTCTTTCCACGTTGCTCGGAGCTGCCTGGTGAATACCTCGTGCTGTGAGGGGACCGGGGCACCTCGTGGTGGTGGTGGTGGTGCAATCTGGAGGACTTTGTATCCAGGCACCGGGGTTGGCCACATCTGTCACACAGCAGCTCTGTGTCCTTAGTAAACTAGTGCCATTTTCTGTGGTGAAGAAGTTGCATGCGCCTCCTGGGCCTTGGACTGGGGGACGTTTCCTTCCAGCCTTGTCTGGAGCCCCTGCAAGGGCCATGGCGATGCTCGTGGCCTCTCAGGGTTTCCAGCAAGCCCTGGCAATAGCCATGCAGACACAGGCTCATAGCAGTAGATGGGACAGCACTCTCTGTACTCTGTTAAGCCGGCACACTGACTCAACACACAAAGCTCATCCTCTGCAGACATGGAATGTGGTGGTAGTTTCTCCAGCTCCCTGAAGAAAGCCATGAAGGACCAGGTGAAGATTCTCCTTAGCAAACCACCATACGAGACTTCAGGGACCTGTTCCTGCCTCCCTCACAGGTAACCATGGGACTCTCTATTACGCCTCTGGTTGTGCCTGTCCTGCATGCCTGGTGCCAACCGTTTGTGAGATTTTTCATGATTTATACAGCTGGCCTTAGCCATTTTGTGTTATAAATAAGCTCGAAAGTTAGTAGAAAATTCTGCTCTGTGAGAACAATTGCAACGGCAACTTTGCAAGGTTAGTGAAATAGCTTTGTACTGCAGACACTTCCCTACCCAAGTGCCTGCCCTTCATTTTGTCCACTCCTACCTGCACGTGATGGCTCCGACCTCTTCGTGCCAGATTTTTCCAGTGGCCTGCACTAGAAGAGCCAAAGTCTTCCTTGGCCTGTTGGAATTGCACTGCACCTCTCCCTGTTCCAGTCCTTTCAGTATTACATTTTGCAGCCAAATAATCAGCATTATTTCCTTGGTTTTAATTGCACACAAGAAATACAGATGATAGCTGTTTAGAGGACTGCAGGATTATTACTTCAATTATTTTTATGTTGCAGGACGTTCTGCCTAGTAATGCGTTTGTATATTCCTGTGTTTCTCAGGCTTCACCACCTGCTTAGAGGAATAAACAGTGCACTTTAAACTTTGACAGAATTCCTTCACAAGAAAGATAGCACTCTTCTTCAGGATTATCTTTCAAGTCGCTGTCAGTAGCTGAATCATCACACTTTTCCAAGTGTGAATACAGGTCTTTACAAGTCTTTTCTCACAAATCTTCTCTATCTACTACCCTGTGGCTTGTGTTTTCTGGTCCCAGCACCAACTTCTGCACACAGTTTCTCCCCATGCCTATCTCCCTCAGGGCTGAGCATCCAAGAGTTTGGTTATCTGTGATAATTTTTTTCTAAATAATTTTTTAGATCTTGTTTTTACTCCTAATCCTAACAGATATTTCTATTTCTGTTCGTCCTTATTTTCTTTATTCTTGTTTTTCGGGCTGTCAGGGCTGTTGAGAACAGAGACAGTGTCAGTACATAAAAAAAGGCAAAGTAAAGGAGAAATTTGGTTTCTTTTGTAATACAGAGCTTTTAGAACCTTAAGCGTTTTAAAATATTCAGCATAAAGTAAAATATGCTCAAAGACAGAGAATTTTTATTCCTGACAGTTTTTTTTTTTTCTAATTATTAGACTCCTCTGGCTGTATATGCTTGGATTACTTGAAAAGAACTCATGCTGTAATGCTCCAACTATTTCTCTTTATATAATCTCTGTTCATCAGATTTGCTGAGTATAAAAATGGAAAGATCATACATACATTGCAAAAGGAAGTTCAGATGCCTGGATTAAGCTGTATTTATGTGGTATTACCTTTAATAGTAAAGCAGAAGGGTTTGAATGCCACAGAGAAGTAGTTTTCATATTCTGGCTACAAGAACCCTTAAAATCCTTTTTTTTTTTTTCAGCAATAGCTTTTCTCTGATGTGAGGAAAAACTACCTTCATGAGTTATAGCTAAACCCCTTTTCCTTTACTATTTCTTATAAGATTAGTGTAAATTGTTGTTACTCAGTATTTACTTGAGTACAAAAAGAATTTGACCCAGAGGATTTAAAATACCGATTCCGTTTGCAGAGGAACCCTTTCAATCAGGCTCTGCTTTTCACTAGTGGGAAACAGAAGCAAAATGAGAGGGAGAGGGAACTTTCGGGTCCCCTGATGGTGATGGGGGGCACGGTGAGCTGTCTGGCTGCTTATCTGATACCAGCAGTTGACGCTGGCATTATGGGATTATATGCTCATTTTAAGTCAACAATTAAAAAACTCTATATTTTTCTTTAAATTCTCGTTTCTCACAGGTCTGTCCTCCTGGGCTCCTCATGTATTCGTATTGCCTTTGTCATCTGTCACTGGCCTGACTGCCACCTTGGGTTGGACCCCTCCTCGTAGCTCATCTTTGCTTTTTCCTCAGCACCAAGGAATCCGCCTGTTCAATTCATTTGTCTTGCAAATGGTTGGAAATCTCTTTTTCTAGTCAGAATTTTCCTCCTTTGACATAGAGATCGGCATAGCCCATCTCTTTCTTCTTCTCTTATCGTGGCAGATATGAATTGTTGGTGTGTCCTCAATATACTTCCCCTGTCCCCACTCTGTCCATCAAAATGTCAAATTTTGCCTTACCTCAGTCACATAACAGGATTTACTTTTATATTTGGGGAAGAGGGTTAGGATGGAAATGCTCTACATACTTCCCTCAGAACACTACCGTGTCTGTTAGTCAGCTACGCAGTTTGTCTTCTATCCATTCCATATGCAGGCTACCTTTTGCTGGTTTTACCTAATTTTTTTCTTTTTTTCTCAGAACTCTAACCCAAAGTAGTCTGTGTTCAGCAGCGATGCTTAGCACTCTGAGCCCACTGGCTGAGCTGGACAAACCTGTTCATCTAAGAGATGCTGCTGAGAAGAGATCACTGATTTTTTAACAGAAATTAAGCCTTCAGCAAATGGACAGTCTCACTAGGGTATATTTGAAGGTGGGCTGAATATTAATACCACATGAAATCTTGGTCTTCAGTTTAACTTTTGACTTGAAACACGTCTTTCATGCACTTTGCTTGTGGGCATTGAGTCAAGCACAAGATGATTGCTCAGGAAATTCTTCCTGTTCCTAAACTGACCAGGCAAAAAATGGTTTCTGACAGTATTGTAGCAAAGACCTTTAGCAGTCTTGACAGAAAGGAATGCAGGAAAACAAACTGTTGATTCTCCTGTATGTTTTCCCCATAACCATTTCCCCGGCCCAATGTCACTGGTCAGTAGAGAAGACATTCCTTGCCGCCTTCATCCCACTCTGATCTGCAGTCCGTCCCAAAGAGAGTTAGATTAATCATCCAGCACTTCTCTCTGTATAAAAACTGGCTGTTCCATATTTTTGTAATGGGGCTGGGATGCTAACAAATTTGTACTTATCTGGTATCTGCATTTAATACTTCCAGCAGCTGGTGGAGAGGAAGGGAGATGAAAGGAAGTGACAGGTCTGAGTCATGTTGTAAATCGTGTCTAGGAAAGTTGACTTGATAAGTTGCCTGAAAAGGCAGTCCAAAAAGTCAAGGCTCAGCAAGTAAAATATTCCCATGCCCATTCCCAACAGGCCATTTACATGTGTCCACCTGTTCTGGGAGTGAATAAAATGTAATGGTATCCTGCATTTGACCCTGAATTAGAAATTCTTCTGCCTTGGAGACACCAGAATTATTTCCTCGCAGTCAAGATGCATACTGTTGGATTGGATTAAGATAAAAGTTTAATTAATATTTAGTAGTTTTTTTAAGACTAACTTTGCTCAGATACATCTAAGCTATCCTAAGAAGTTACAGGTCCGCTTAAGAAGAACTCTAAAAGCAGAACTCACCTTCTTTATGGCTACAGTTAAAGAACCATTCTTGCATAACAAAGCCTTAATGACAGCTTGTAAACCTTTCAAAATTGGTAGGCTCCTTGGCCTGGCTAAATAGTAGCCCCAAAGCCACAACAGACATAGCAATGCTGAGAAACGTCAAAAGGCTCATTACACAAACATGTTCTTTTATAACCCAGGCATCTGATTTCCACATTCGTACAAAGTTATATATTGTCATAGCCCACTGTGCCTTTGGAGGTGCCTAATCTGCTAACTACAGATGAATTCATTTATATCACTTCCATTTTTTGAAACATTGCTAGGGTTACACTGACGCTGGTTGATCACTGACAGTTGATCAAAATCTTTTTAAACAAGACAGATCTCAGAAACGTTGCATCCTAGCCCTGGTGGCAAATCAACCAAATCGAAGATGGATTTAATGAAAATTTGATTTCTTCTTCAGAATAGACTCAATCTCTGAAATAGCATTTTAACTCTTCTCAGATATCACATTGCCCTTCTTTTTTTTTTTTTTTTAAAGACTTTTTTTCCCCCCTTTTATTATCAATATATTTCTAGGGACAGAAGCTGGAATGTTTACATGACTGTAGTTTTCAAGTTTAGCCTGGCAAAGAGTCACCCGTGTCATTTATCTGAAGAATAATGCTGCTTCTTTGTATATCCATGTCTTTTATTCCCATAATAAGGATTCATCCATATGCCCAGGCATTGTAAGTGGTAGAATATGATTCGGCAATGAGATTTTACTTCAAAAAGGGGTGGTTGGGCAGATTTGTTTGAGCCTGTACCCTGGGGTTCATGTTTCTGTATATTCTCTGCAGAAATCATACCCTGTACAAAATCCATTTGGGAAAACAGACTTTACCAGAGCAGAGCAGGAGAGGCTACTTATGTACAGGGATGAGTTTTTGATGGGGCCAGAATGACTTGCGGAGATAGAGCGTACATTCTGTCACTGAAGGCATATTCCAAGGCAATGGATCAAGAGCCCCTAGGCCGTGCTCATGATCTCAAGTGGTGTTGCTGGCTCGGAGACAAATGGATGCAGGGTAGTGATCCTGAAGGTGAGAGCAAAGTCTGGCAACCCCAGGAAGGCAGGATAGTCAGGCTGGCTCCCGGAGCTGAAACAATTTTACAAAACGCTGCATTCAGTCTACACTGAGACAAAAGCTACAGAACAGAGCAAATTTATACATACAGCGAGCGGATTTAAAACATTTCGGTACCAAATCTCAATTTGGGCAGAAGTCTTTTCCCCTGGGAAGACAGTAGAAGACAAAGCAACAGAAGTAAAAATCAAGAGATCGATAGTAGAAGCAAAACAGGGAGGAAAATATATCTCTTCATGGCAAAGCTAGGTAATTGCATAACTGTTCCAAGTGGAAGAGAAAAGGTCAACAGGCAGATGACAGGCTGGTGCACAGAAAGCTTGTGCCTAGCAGGGGACAATATTTCACAGTGCATTGGAAGAAAAATCAATGATTATGCAGAAGTGACTAAGAAAATGCCAAACTGTATGAACAATATGAGAAGCTGAGAAGGCCTGGGTAGGACTATCCCATAATGACACACAGCGTCACGGCGAGAGACATCCTCTAAACTGCAGGACATCTGAGGTAGCACCAAGCTCAGCGGAGTGATGGGAACAATGTCAGAATTAACGATGAAGTTGTACCAGATGGCAGAAGTGGGAGTCAAGGCCAGAACTTGGCAAAGAGAGGGAAAATGTTAGCCATCAGCCTGTCTGGAGAGCAGCAGGAGGGATGAGATATATGAGCAACCTGGAGGATGAGCAGGACACTACTTAACTGAATGAAAGCACAGCAGTGAACAGATAGGGATTATACAGTGGGAGGTTGGTTTGAAGACCACAATATGTTAAAAAGTATAGAGCTGCAGCTGGTTTGTATCAAAGACCACTTTCACAGGACTATGGGAACTCTCTGGTCTCAGCAGAGGGGCAAAATAAAAGAGCAACTGTTCAAAGGAAAAATGCAATAAATCTTCCAGGAACTTAAATGGGAATGAAGTTGCAGGAGGGAAGAAGTTCAGCAGTAGCATAAGGACTGCCCGCGCAGCTCAGGAGCCTGGGGCTGCATTTCCAGGCTGGCAGCCGATCATGAATATTTACTCTTTCCAACCCCTTCCTTGATTGAGTTTTGGATGGGGAAAAATCCTTTCTATTCTCAGTTTGCTGCAAGCTCTCGGTAGGGAGCACCTCGCCTCTCCACTTGGCCTCTAAGGTGACGTGTGTCTTTGAAGAGGTCACCCTCTTCTCCACCATGGTGGTCCTCAGTTCCTTCAGGTGTGACACAAGTCTGGTACTATAACCCCCACAACACGAACCGGACTGCATAGCTTGGGAGAGATGTAGAGCACTCAGTTAAAACGGTTCTGCCAAATGTGAATTGTGGAATATTTGTGTTGGAAGGTCTGTCTGGAGTTCTTTTAATATCCCCCACCCCCCCACTCCAAGATAACCAAACCTGGATCAAAACAACTGGTGGCCTTGACAAGTTCGGTGTTATGCCCAGTATAATGGAAGAGTGTTTCTGTTCAGACTTGAGATATTTTTTCACTACAAGGACAGCCAAGGAGGTGAACAGGTTGCTGAGAGAGGTTGTGTAGTTTACATTTTTTTGAGATTTCCAAGCTCATACTGGCTAAAGCCCTGAGCAGCCTGGTCTGAATGAGAGCTGGCCCTGCTCTGAGCAGGAGCCTGGACTAGAGACCTCCTGAGGTCTCTTCCAGCCTGGATTATCATGGGATCACATGAGGAGCTATGCACCACAGCTAGTATTCCCCTCTCCCACCCACACGCAACAACCCCATTTTGTTCCTAATGAACAAACATTCCATCTTGCTAAGGAAGGGCAATCCTGTGCTTTCAGGCATCAGGATTCAGCATGAGAACCTTCACCAACTCCTTCACAGTCAGAAAAGTTGTTACAAATTTAGTGGGTTTTTTTGTGTTTTTTTTTTTTCTCCCGTTGCTCTAACTTCTCTGAGAGCTCCTTTGATAATGTGATCATCTACTGGCCCTGCAGGCTCCCTGGCAAGCATCCCATTTCTAGGATCTATAATTAGTTGAGATGTTTATAGGGAATTGTATCTCAAATTCTTTTTGTCCTCATTTATCTTGTGTTTACATTTAAGCAGATAGAAACTGTGATCCCTCCTTTTTTTCTCATTTGGATATGACTTAAAGTTTTTGAAGGGTGCCTTATTGCTTTTACTATCATCTCTCACCTTGCTATTTCACCATGCCAACACTTCTCTGCTCTTCCTAGAGTCTCTGTTGACAGGTGGAATGAATTTACGTTAAGGCTCTGCGCGATGTCTTTAAATAGGCCTCATGCTCTTGATTTGGATGTCTCATAAAAAATTAAAGGATAATGTAAAAATAAAAAATGCTGTTAATGTCCCGAGGGACAATGAAGACACGGGTCCTTCAGCTTGCTTGTGGAGGGGGTTGATAACCCCCCTGGGGTCAGTGGCTGGAGGTCTGTGTCCACGACCGGCTCCGACATGGTGCACCCGTGTCACCGGGATCAGACTGTGCTGCTGGGAATCCTTACCAGGACCTCGCTCTGTCGGGAGCTGCCTTGGAGCTCAAGGCCCGGCCCTTGGTCCTTGCCAGGGCCAGGCTGTAGCTCTGTCTGTGCCTTGCCATGTTTGATGCCCCAGTTCTGGCCCAGCGGCCTCAGCCCTGCGGAGCTGCCCAGTGACTGGCCTGACCCCGGCCATTGCCCCCAGACCTCCCTGTGTGGGCACCGGGGGAAGTGTGAGCTGGGGGGAGATGGCAACCAGGGGCCACCTCACCTCGCCGAGCCAGCACTGTCCACCTGGGTCCATGGTGGGGAATGACAGACCCAGGGTGGCACAGCAGACCCTGCTGCGGGCAAGGTTACCCCCTTCACCCCATTAAACACGGCTGCACCAGGAAGGCTCGGGCTGGCAGTTTCCTCTTTTTTCTATTTTACTCCAGTGCTGAAGAGCTGTAAAGCAAGTGGAAGCTCCTTCAAACCTGGTGCTGGGACCGCGGGCTGTAGGGCTGAGCAGGATGTCTTTGGGGGAAGATCGCTGCCCGCCGGCCTGCGCTGCCAGAGCGTGTCCTTGGCTGTCAGCGATGGCCTGAGCTTGATCCCAAAGCAAATCATGAACATTAAACTCCTCAGAAGTAGCAATTTCTGCAGTAATAGCTAAATTATAGCCCATACACTGAATGAAACAAAATTAGGGCTCCATATGTAGTATTTATTTGGGCAATTTCACTTAACCTTGCCATCTTTTAATTCCTTTTATACCTTGATTTAGTAATTTCTGAAATTTTTTTATAGCTCTGTTTATTGAGAAGACCACAAGAGACCTGAACTGAATAATTTCCTGTTTCTGCAGTTTTGTACTTTAACAGCAACAGCACCGTCTGTACATAAACTCTTTAAACAATAAACATCTTTATCCGCAATGGTTTAGGTGTTTATTATCTTTGTAGCACTTCATTTGTAGGACACAGTACCACCTTCAGAAAAAATGGAATCAGTTTGTAGTCAAACTAGTGGTTCTGGTTATTTTTTGATACTGTAAGAAAAAAGGTACCTTTTAAAGCGACAAAATATACTGTAATAATGCAAAAAAGATTTTAAATGGTAATTTATCAAATTAAAGATCTGTTTGATTGGACAGTGAAATGCTGGACTGTGTATTAATATCAGACCTTCAACATTTCTAACAGTAATACAGTTCAAAGCAAATATACTTCACAGGAAAAATTAGGTTATATTCCAGCCAGTTAGTGTCACGGAACCGATAATTGAATTCCTTGCTTTCTTGTCAACCCAGTAATATCATGTAACTCATTTTAAATGTTCATGTAATCAACAGTCTTGATGCTGGTAAGCCTTTAATAGACTGAATCATTTTTTTTCTTTGAAAGCCGGTCTTCTCGGCATTTCTTCTGTTCTGTTTTTACAACTTCTTCAGGAAAAAGTTGGTTTTTTGGAACCACGTCCCGCAGGTTACACGCAGCACAGAAACAAAATTCGCTAAAAAGGTGATGCAGGTTTGTGCAACGTTTTTTGAGGAAAGTAAAAAAAGAAGTACATTTTCAAAGAAATGGAGCCACTTGCCACCACATCAAGAGAAAGAAAGAGAGAAAAGTTCGTCAGTACACATTGCTCTTCACTCTGGTTACTTGTCTGGTCCTTCTTTGAAATGTAGTATCATGGTTGTGGGAGCAAAATCAGTCCTCGAAGGCAGCCGTTGCCATGACTGCTAAGGCACAATTAACTCTTGCACTGCAGAGAAATGAACTAACGAGTGACTGATGGCAGCTGCCTACGCCAGTGCCACTGTGCTGCTGTGGGCAGGGATGGCACAGGAATTGCTCTTGTTCTCTTTTGTGGTTTCCAGGCTTAACAAAATGCAGCACGTAGTGCGAACTGAGAAGCTTTCCAGAGACTTTCCATCAACTCTGGCTTCAAGTCGCCACAGATACAAACTGGAGGACCCTGATGCAAATTGAATATGGCCTTACTAAGATGGCAGTGGCACTGACACTGCTCCCTTCCATCTCCCTGCTGAAAGAATTTCCTTCAGGTGTTTCTTTCATTTAACATCGCCCGAGCAGTTGTGTACAACTGTTTAACTGCTTTATTGGCAATGAGGAAGGGCATAAAATCTGTTACTGCAAGCGGGAAAGAAACATATGCTTAATATGCAACTGGAAAATAATAATTTTTAAAGCCCTTCACGTTCAAATTAAGAAGCTTCTTTTCCCCCTGCTTTCCTCTGTATCCCTAAACAATTGCTGGTACTGCCATAATGCAACGATGCCAGGGGGGGAAGAGCCAGGAGAAAATGCTAATAGCCATGGAAGGGACAAGTCCTGTAGGGGGACACCCTGGTGGGGCACACTAGAAACCAAGACACTGAACTCATCCAAACCAAGGGCTGATGGATAAGGATAAACGCAAGGCGTAGGAGCTCTCTCAAGCAGCTTCACCACCAAGGCTGCTGTAAACGGGGAGCTATGCCCGAGACCTTCTGGGTCCCTTGGCACTTGCCATGTCAGCCCATGCACATGCCCTTCTCATCTCTGCTCCCAGATCTCCTCCTTGGCCGAGCCCCCCAGCCTACGGGTGTTTGCGGCTGGGCATTTCTGAATTATCTATCAACAGCCATGAAAATCAACCCTGAGCCTTCACTGCTCAGACTCAGCAGAGCCAGGCTTACGCTTAGCACCAAAGCCCCGTACCCCGGTATTGCCCAGACCGGGACTAGCGAGACGGGAACAGAACAAGCTCCTGGGCTGCCACCCGGGGCTGAGGTGCGAGCCAGGGGCTGGCCAGGGCTCAGAGGCACCAATAGTCCTGAGTCACTTGGCCTTTTTTCACGGTGCTTTGTTGCCACCTGATGGCCTGTTGCCAGATTGCAGGAACGACCTGGCCCCGGGAGCGGCTGCCCTTGGTGACACAGGCAGTGTCCCGGGGTGCTGCGGGACCGCGGGGACGCCCAGCGCGGGCATCATCGGCTTTGCGCACCTTCTTGTCCCCTTTCCCACTTGTTTGAGCCTACCTTTCTCTGTCCTTTCCTTACCTTTCTCCACTCCAATCCCCTCTCATTAAAATATTTCCTCCCGAATTATCTCTTTCCTAAAGGTCCGACTTTTCCTTCACGCAGATCCAGCTCCTGCATTTCTGACACCCTTGCCGACGTGACCCTGGCCTTACACAAGTATTAGCGATGCTGCTGGTCTGGCAAAGCTCTGCTCCCCGAAGGGATCTCAAAGCTCCCGCCAGTCACCTTTGAAGTCAGGCTGTTTGCTCCCATCACTCCCCCCTAAGCACTGGTGAAACCCAGGCACCCCTCCGGGCTCTGCCTTTATGTTTTGTTGGCACTGCACATTGTTATCTGTCACACGCAGCATATTATTATGTTGTATCCAGTCACTGCCAACATCCTTTTCAATGAGTGTAACCTCAAGTCAGTACCTGCAGCCCTGATGCATAAAACATCATTCCAGATGTTTTAGCCACCTAAGAAGCTCTTACTGGCTCCTCAATTTCTCTTAAAAGTACTGAGGCAAAAATAGCGAGGCTGAAACGGTTTGGAACTAAGGGACTAGGCTCTATAATTATTGTTGTGGTGAAATCCCAGTGGCTGAAGGGTGGGCTCTGCCTTGGGACCACCGATGTGGCTGACAGGCGAAGGGCACATGAGTTAATTCATCTCCGGTCATGGCCATGATATGAAGAGAAAGGAGAGAAACTGGCAGTTGTCACCTGTGACCTTTACTTGCTTTTTATGCAGACAGCTGAAGGTGCTGCAGTGAGGACGAAGGCAGGCCACCTGCCCATCATACAACCAACCACCTTTGGTCTGCAGCAGCAGGCGCACACAAGGAGAACAACGTTCACATGTTGGCACTCTGGGGAAAGTGGCTGGGGCACAGTCTGCCAGCTCTGCTGAGGACATCTCTTTCCACAGGCTGGGTGTTTTTGGTTTTGTTTGTTTGTTTGTTTGTTTTTCTGGGGTGCTCTAAAGTGTTTCTTGAAACCACAGTCGGAGAACTTCTTCTGAGGGTATCACACGCACCATCAGATCACATTGCTCAGCGTCTTCACTGCCACGCAGTATCAGCTGAGTGGGGGGCTCTGAAACTTTCTGTAAAACAAATGCACTCACTCAAACACCCTCAGGGTGATGAGCTAGTCTGTCTTCTACTGTTCCCCACAAACCGTTCATCTCATCCTTCCTGCCACAAGCGCCCAGAGACCCAGTGCTCAGGAACCCACAGCCACAAAAGCTGCTGCCTGCATTCTCACTTGAACCGGACAGCACATTTAAGCTACTGACATAAACATCCTCCTCCAGAGTGAGCGAGGAAAGGGCCTGCTTTTGACGGCTGCCTTCTCCTCACCAAGGAGTTGAGAAGCTCAGGGCTGGTACCAGGGGACATGGAGCACTGTTGCCAGTGACACAGCTGTTTTGTTCAGGGAGCAGCTGGCCGGGCAGGGTCAGTCCATGCCTCCCAAGCTGCTTCCCCACAACCATCAGGAGCATTATCTGTTCAGGGCTCCAAGCCGAAGGCAGTGACAGCCGTGCAGACAACTCATGGCGGGTGCTGACCCCCGCAGCTCAGCTCAGCACACTGGAATGAGCAAGGAATTCTATTCACGTGTCTGCTTTTTCAGCTTGCCCCATGCTCCTGTGAACACCCAGCACCCTAAAAAACCATAAAGCACAGTAAAAAAAGTTACCAGTGTGTCTGGCAGGACAGCAATGGGGCAGCAGGAATACTGAAAGATTTTACTTGTTTTCCAGGTAAGGAAAGGCAGGGTCAAAGCAGCCACAGCAACGCCAGCAGAGATGAGGGCAGTAACCAGCCACATGGATGTGCCGCCTAGAAATAACCGAAGCAGCAAAACTTCTCAGAGACACTGTGAGGACAAACCACTCCATGCACTCAGCCTGCACCCTCTGTGGCTGCTCTTCCCACCCACCCTGGTGAGACTCTTTGTCAGCACATTTCAGGAAAGGCTACCAGCGCCAGTGTAGGGGCTGTATGCCTGAGTTCTTTATTTTACCTCCCCCAAGGAACAAATGGGCAGCACATTTGCAAATACAATGGAAGATACTGGATGGAAACCAAAGGAAGAGCTGCTGGACTATCCTTCTTGGGCATGACTACACCAGGGGAATAAGAAGGAAGGCTGGCTCTTACCTTGTGCCCTCACACACTGTGTCTGGCTGAAGCTGCTGCTTCTGTTGATCGCCTCGATGTATGTCTGAGCTTTTACACAATAATCAGGTCCTGCCTCCATGGTGTCCAGGTGAACCACGGAGCTGACCTCTTTCACCACCTTCTGCTGCATCTGCCACAGGTCCAGGAGAGAGAGAGCATCAGAACCCAGGGCAAGGACCTAACTGAGAACAGGAGTCCTAAGATGATGCTAGCCCAGACTGTCCTGGGAGAAAAGGAAGGAGCAGCAGGAGGTATCAGAGAGGACTGTGTGAATAAGAGGACAGGGGGAGAAAAGCAGCAAACAAGGAAGCACAGTGGAGTGCAGGATGAGACCACACACATCTGGAAGGGTAGGAAGGGATGTAAAAAAGGAACTGGGAGGCAAAGAAGCATAATGATGATGTTGGGCCACAATACCGGATCATGACCTACTCCCCTGGTGTGAGGGCTTGATGACTAAGGTCTTGACTGGTCTGAGTTTTTGCTGGGGTACCAAAATCATGCCTGTGCTATCATGGTATGACAGGAATGCCAGAATCATGCTGCGACAGGGGTGTGAGAGCTGTGCCGTGACTCTAGAGCACAGAGAGGTGATGGACTGGGCTGGTGAGGAGCAAGTGAATTGGGTGTGTGCAACTGTAACACACTTCAGCAACTTTTAAACAGCATATGAACACCAGTATATTCTTTTCTTGCAATATACAGGACTTCATTAAAAGCTGCTATTCCCAGTCTCCCCAGTCATGAGAGGACAGGTAACAATTAGCTAATTGCTCCCAATTCTTGCTGTGTTGCAGATGCAAAACCTGGGCACACAGAAGGCCTGCCCAGCTTCCAGCATCACACACGTGCAGACACCTCCAAGAAGCCAGGAGGGCTCTCCTGGCAGGGCAAGCCCTTCTCTCCATCAAAATATCCTTCTCCACAGAAACGTGATCTTGGGGGCCATTAGTTTGAAAAGATTTCAAGGACAAAATCAGGTCAGTGACTACCTGGGGTGTGTAATCTTTTGCAAAGCCCTCAAACCAGATGTGTCAAATGTGACGATTATTTAAAAAAAAAAAATTAAGAGTCCCAGAGAACTGGACATGTACTGACCAGCAAACCTGATGCTTGTCCAGTTGGTAGAAACCATTATGAAGTTTGGAATTAATGTTTAGGTGAATAATATCATATACTGAAGAAAAGTTAACATTTCATCCATAAAAGGCAGCCAGATACAAACCTATGATTCTTTCTAAGGTGTCAGAAAGCTCATGGACATGGTTGATCTCATTTACTTGGATTTCCAAAAGATACTCAAGAACTATCAAGCTAACAGCCAAAGGCGTCAGAGCTCTGAGTGCACTAACCAGGCTGCGACGGCCCTGATCAGCCCTGCCTGGCCCCCCCATCTTCACCCTCCTGACCATGGCCCAGGACACCCGTTTAAGCTCAGCCCAGGACCTTCAGTCCCAGTCTGAGCTATGCCAGAGGTGTGCCTGCCTCCTGGCTGGCCCTTCCACCTGCGCTGTATGTGGCTTGTTTCCTGGCTGGCCCCAAGTCCACCGCCGCCTCGTCCCCCAGCCCTGCCTCTGGTCCTGCCTCCTTCTGCTCCCGGCTGGGGTCCTGGACGGACCCTGGGCCTGCTCCATCACTTGCCTTGTCTGGGGCTGCTGATGGACCCCGTAACCAGTATCTGGTTCCACCCACTGTGGTCAGATCCTGTGGGGCTGTGCTTCACTGGGGAGGGCACTGCTTGCACTGGGATCACCCTTGGCTCCTGGCTCGCCTGCTCGTAGCGAGCAGCCCTGCTCCTGCTGCCTCCTGATAAAAGGCTTATGTATGGCTAAAAGTGCTAATCCCTGCTGAGAGTGGAAGGGAGTCGTGGTGGAGGCCCATGCAGATCTGTGCTCACCACTGTATTACCATAGATGATCAGGAAGGAAAATGAAAACTGATACATGCTAATGCTACTAAAAAAACACTTCAGCACAATGAAGATGGCAGCCAACTGTGAAGAACTGCAGGAGGATCTTGTAATAAAATGATAAATGAAATTCAACATGGATAAATGTGAAATGATGCTGTCACATCCCGTTGCCTCTCACAGATGCTCATGAGAATTTTTCCCCTTCGTTTTGACAGTCAGTGACTGGACCTTCAGTCAAGCATCCCCCATCATAAACAGGAACTTGGGGTTCAGATTTCATGGAGTGACCTCTGTGGTAGTCACCCATGTTAACAATTGCTGGGAAGAGAGAAGAGTGTGAAGACTTGGTTTTATGGTGCTAACCCACAGTGCACCTTGAACTGTGCAGATTTACTCCCAGCCCACCTTAGTAAAGGCAAAAATAGCTGGAAGGGCTTCCACTGCACAACGGTTAAGCTGTAGAACTCCTGACTACAGGAATTTGTACAGGCTAAAAGTTTACATAGTTTGAAAACCAGAACAGACAAATCGATGGAACAAAAATTCATCAAGGGCTATTAAAAATACCATTTCTGGCTCAGGAATTTCCTGGAGCTGTGTCTCTGATTTCTCAGAAAACAATATCATTACATACAGGGTCTCTCCTCACTATCTTCCTTGGTCATCTCCATTGCCCACTGGCAGAGAGAAGATACTAGGTTTGGTGGTCCCATGGTCTGACTTTACAGGAAAGCACCAAGTTCCCAGGAGAAAAAAAAAAAAATAAAAAATCACTCTAGTGAAAACAGAGGGACCAGAGTGGAACAAAAATTGTCACTGCTTCAGTCTTACCCAGGTATAAGCAATGCCCTCAGCTAAGCGAGTTACAGCTCACTGCCACAGGCAAGCTGGTTTACCAAAAAATCTTGAGAAAACTTTATCAGCACCTCAATGTGACACCTTAACCATGGTCTGAGAATACTGAGTGATGTTCAGAGAAGAAAGTCAGCATGAAGACCTTCAGTTCCTGACTTCTGGTTTCTTTCAATAGTTGAGGTCCCTGGGAGGATTCCTCTTCCCAGAGAAGGAAAAGTGGGGAGAACAGACAAGCTTCTCCATGGGGGTAAGAGCAACCCACTGGATTGTGCAGAGAAATACGGCACACCCTGACTCCAGGCAGGTCCTCCAGCCCCGCGGCAGGAGCTTGGCTTGGCAGACAGGCTCTGGGCAATATCTGTATGCTTTCAGTCCAAGCATGTGGGCTCTCTGTTATTGCCCCAAACCCGAGGGTTAAACTCACCCTACTCTCCTGGCCCTTCTTCCAATAGAGAACAAAGAACTGAAAGGCAGGTCCCATGTCTTCCAGCTCCACTAGTAAATGATACCCATCTGCTATGACCTTCATCAGAGGTGGGGTCAGGGAAGCTGCCAACACAGAGAGAGCACCATTATCACACCAGAGGCAACCCTGGAAAGCTCTCCTCCTTTTCCCAGCTGGGAGAGGAAGAGAAGCTGCCATCATGAGCACAGTAACATTAATCTGGAACAACAGCTGGTTGCTTCAGTGGGGCACAAACTTCTCTCTGCTCTAGACACAGTAGCAGGCTTTGAGCAGGAGGAGGACCATGAGTGGCACTGCAAATGGGAGTTTGGCAATAGCTGAGTTGCACAGAACTCGGTTTGAATTTTCTCTGGTGGAGGAAGTGTCTGGCCTGAGGGTCCTGTGTGATCAACAGCAGAAGAACCAGCTGGGCAATCTGAAGTTGAGACACCAGATCAGGCCAGTTCTTCTGCTCCTGGGCATTAGCTTAGCACTAACACACAGAAGAAGAGCTGGGAAACCAGTGCTGCTTCATGGGAATGTTGGCAGTTATTCAAGGGTGAAGGCAAAAGCAATAAGAGCCTCAGGATAGCTCTGGCAGTTCACATGAATCCTGATTTTCTTTTAGTATCTACATGGATAGACTTGGGCTGATGTCCTGCTGTGATGTAATTTTTTGTAAAAGTAGGCAAGTAAATCTGTAGGTGATTTGCTTCATGCTTACTTTGATATTCAAAGCTTGGTTCAGTCCGGGATTCTGCTGTGAGGAGTATTAGCGAAACAATCAGAATCAATCATGCATGGATGAAACTACACACTGTACATTTGCAAACTGGGAATCGAGGCAGTACAGAGATTGCATCTGCACTACTTATCGGTGCCATTCTTTACCACTCTGTTGTAGCTGAAGCTGGTTTCAACCTCCTTGTTTTCAAGATAGGAAGGAGAGCAATGTATAACCACATACAGAAGAGATGTTCTTAATAGAACACGCTCTTACATCCAGTGAATTGCCATTAATACTGAGCAATACAAAAACATAAAATCCAAGTATGTTCATCACGAGTGTGCCACAAATGGGAGGCCTGGAAAACCAATTTATACTTTTAAATTAAAAACTGAGAACCTGCTTAACACAACGTCTCAAAATAATAATATTTTAAAAGTGATAGCATCATTGGAGGTTAAAAATAACTATTGGGCTAACATATTAACAAATGGACCCTGCAAGATGCAACTGCTAACCAAACAGGAGCGTTTATATTTATCTCTGCACTGGCACACAAGTGACTATTTGAATTTTGATAAATGAAGAGTAAGACTGACTTGAGTAAATTGTTGGTTTTAGGAAGACTTTTTAAAAGGGTTTTCCATACATTGTCATACTTTGTGTGTATCGACGCCTAAGGCTTTGACACCGGAGCTCTTTAGTGTAGAAGTACTGTGGGCTGTGCTGGTGCCCTGACTGTCTGTGAACCACACACAGAACCAGTGGGCTGTGCTCTGAATTCCTTAGTTCCTCTCGGCCTCAATGCCACGTTTCCTAAGAGGTGCGAAAGCAGAGACAAGGGAAAGCGAGCAGTAAAAATTCATAAGGACAAGAACTTACAGTGACTTTTTTTTTTTCTCCTTTAAACATTTGTCCATGTATGCAAATTCACACTGCAGTCCATTGCAAGCTGTATCCTCTGAACTTCCCAAGCGTGGCCAGAGGATTGTACTGAGGTCTCTAAGACACAGGACCAAGCTCTCAGACACTTCACTGTGCCATGAGAAAGTTGTTGCTTTTCTTCATGAAGAGGGTCAAGCTAAGGAATATCCTTCCCCTGTCTCTGCCTGACAGTGTGGTCTGTGGCTCAGCTCCCAGTGCCACCATAGCTGCAGGAAAAGGGAAGGATTCTCCATCTAAAGCTCTATCTAGAGAACACTTTACACCAGAAAACACGCTCACCAGCTTAGGTGGCACTTCTGATGGTGCTGCTCTGACGAAGTGCTCTGTATGAGTGAGGGCTGCTCACTCATGAAGTAGTGGGTAACTTCCAGTGACTGAAGGAGGTCTGAGATTGGGTCAACTCTGATCTTGGACAGGCAATTTCTTCCCTGGCTAAAACTGATGACTGCTGCGCATCCCAGACAGGTTTCACTCTAATAGTGACCTCAACAGAGGTTCCCTACCAGAGTTTTTATTGCTGAAATCTGCTGACTACATGACAGAAAACAGATAGTGACTGTAGAGAAACACTGGAAATAGTATGTTATTTTAGGCTGCAGCATGATCCTTGGGTTGAGCTGGGCTGCTAACTTTGCAGGAGTTGGAAGCATATGGAGAAAATACCCTGCATTGCTAAGACTGCAGCAATGCTACGGTTTCCATTCTTCTCTCCTTTTCAGAGGTTACTGACAACATGCGAGGAAGAAATCATGTCTGGCAGGGAGCAGGATTTCCAGGACAGCATGAGGCGCATCGGGGGTGACATGGCTGTTTTCTAGAGTAAGTGCTTCCATAGGATCAGGTTCTGGACCCTCAGAAGTCTCTAGGTGACATGGATTAGATGGAGCATTGACACCAAACCTGATTGAGCAGAACTCTTTGAAATCAGTGGCAAGAGTGGCCAGCTTGCCAAAAGAAATGCCTGGAGTCTTCTCACTTATCGTTGAAGCCCTTGAAATTCAATCCCTGGTAAATTTGGCCCTGCCTCAGGAGGAACTCATGTCCAAGAACACAGCATGGCTATCTAAGACTGAAACATCTCAACCCTGCATGAGAGGGGCTGAGAAGTAGGATGTGCTCTGCATGTTGATGGGTTTTCTGCGACGTGCACAGTACACAGACATGCACGTGGGCAATCCCTCAGCACCGAGCTCCGAGAAACCAACACAACCAATGTAGCTTCGGCCAAATAGCCGGACTCACTTGTGATGCGATTGAAGAAGCCTTTCAGGGTGCCCCACTCTGATCTTCTAGCACCAACATTTGCCCTTACACGCAGGTTATAGGCCACGGTGGCTGAGATATCCTCTGTGATGTTACACACCGTGGCTGTGATGAGCGAACACTCACAGGTGGGAATCCAGCTCTCATTGGCGTATTCGCGTTCATACTCCCTGAGGAGAGGAAAAGAGAGCAGACAGGCAACAGTGCGAGAGGAGATACATCTGTGATGTGAGCTGAGGCTGCTTGCTAGTTCTTTCCAGGTAAAACCAGTACTGGGATACCTGGGGCTGGAATACCAGGAATGTATGAAACCTGTATGGGTGTGTTCCAGATCTTATCTAGAGAAAATCTCCCAGAGTCAGTTTGTTCATGAGCCAAAGGCAGCATGATATGGTAGGAGGTGGGGATAGCCAACGCAGTGTTGATGCATCAAACTCTGCCCACTCACTTGACTTAATCATCCCTGGTAAATCAGAATTCCAGAGCCACGCTGTGATACAAGTCATAGCTCAAGATGTATCAGAAACCTCCTGTAATGTGTGTTAAATGTTTAAAAGATTAACACCGAATACACCACAAATGTTTTCTCTTTCCTCTTCTAAAAAAACCTGTTGCTAATCTTCCTAACTTTGGAATTCTCTGGGCAGAGACAGTTTTCATGTGCGGGTTTAACACACACCTTGGATTACTGAGGTATCTATTAACCTGTAAACACTCTCAAAATTGGACCAAAAGGATTTATTTTGTTTCCGCCCACTTGTGATCCACAGTGCTGGAGTTTCAATCTTCTCTTACATCAGTGAAGTGTTCAAGACATCCAAACTGTGCAGGATTTTGTCTAAGTAAACAATGTTCAAAGAGCAAAGAAGAAAAAGAATCACAAGTTACCCCTGAAACTCGACGGAGTATCTCACAGTTTCTCCCTGGATGATCACAGGACTCCAAGTTAAGAAGTGTTTCATGTTGGTAGAAAGAATAGAGATATTCTGAGGTGCTGGTAACAAAGCATCTTCACCTAAAATTCCCAGCAAAAGAAAAAACAAGAAAGAGAGAAAAAAGGTACATCGATATACTAGAAAAAAAATCTTAGGAGAATGGTGCAAAACTGTGTTTTGAATCAGAAACGCACACTCTTCATTTCACTACTGTCACTTGAGTGTTTGAAAGTATTTTGCAGAGAAGAAATGGCAACCAAAGAGCAAACGACAGAGCAGTCAGGCTGGCACTGTTTACAGAAAGGCAAAGTGTGCTTTCTCACCGACTCAGAGCTTTTCACCGTATCGGTAAAACGGCGAGAAAAGGTCAAGCTTTTCTAAAGCCATCCAATTCAGTTTAATGAAGTCAGGTAACAGATGCTCTGTTGCACTCTAGGCTGCTCCAGTGGATGTCATGTGCTATTTCTTTCCAGGCTTGACTGGACTGGACACTACAGAAGATCCTAGTTCTGGCTCAGGTTTTCTCCTGTTGCAGGAGTCTAATAATGTCAGTGCTTGTAGGCTGTCACTGAGGCACCTCTTGACAGAATAAACTTATTCAATGGACTATAAATGAAATTATTACATTACTCTGAGGTTGTCAAAGCCTAAGTGCGAGATGGTACCTACAGTGTAGTTAATTTTATCCTGTGGCATTTTAATGTAAAATCCCTGGCAGTTTGGACCAGGATTCCCCACGAGCACATCCCGTACTACACTACGGGAACAGATTTAGCTCTCTCTGTTCTGCTGCTTTCCAGTCCCAAGGTAATTATGTTCTCCCTGCTCAGCAGGGAATGGTTCCCAAGGAATGGAATGGATGGAACCAACTCAGTGTAGCAGTGGCCATTTCAACACCCTCCCAGAACCAAGGTTCTATCACAATATATGTGTGTTACCTAAAGATTATTTCCTAATTATTTTTAAATTACATCTATTTCACTGAACCAAGCCTATCTTCCATTAGTCACATTACAAAGTTAACCAGTTAATGTCAGTTGTTCTACCCAAGAACAAAACCAGGTTGAGAAGTCCATGAGCAATGTTTTCATGATGATTAATCTTTTAAAGCATTGGGGTGCCGACTCTTTTTTGATTCCCTGGCATTAGTTACATGGATCTGTTGATACAATGCTCAGCCATTCTTTAAACTAAAAGTCAGATCCCTCTGGGATGAGGAGCTTTCTTCCTTGCCATTTAGATAGCAAATCTAGATAGCACTGTCTGTCCTATCAGCAGTTCCATCGCTTCTGGCCTGTTGGGGGTCCACAACAGTGTCAAGGCACTTAAAAAGAAAACAGTTTTCATTGACCTTCATTCTGTATCTTAATCACCGATTTGGTTTCTTGTATTCTGCAGGCTTTTCAACATTTAGATTGTTTGCTACTACCTTCCTTGTACTCTTGGTTCCATGTTAATTCTGGGAGCTGGCATACCCAGGGGTATGAATTACGTAACAGACTTCAGTTACATGATCAGACACTAGTTTTTCCACATGACTCATGCACACAATGATGTTCCAGGTCTGAACAGAGGTGAACTGCACCGGAGTGTTTCCTAATTTCTTTGAGTACTTGATTTTAGGACTTTTTTAATATATATATATATATTTTTTTTTTATTCAGCCATACTGAACCCCATGCTATTAAACTGTCTAGAATCCAAATTTAAAAGACAGTTCTGAACTGGACTATCTACCTTTCAATGGCCTAAAGATGATTTTCTATGTGTTTTGAGACCAACCTGCTATGCTTAGCTTTTCCTGCTATGCTTAGCTTAGTGCGTTGTTCTCCTGGTTTGCTGGGAAAACCAGTGACTCTTCTGTTGGTACAGTGAGACCTGTCACCTCCCTTCAGCTGAACTTTCTTTCTTCCTTTCTTTAAGGAAAAACTCTGGGCGTAATGACAGTGTATGTGTCCCTATAATAAAAGTTCACTGATTTAAGTTTCTGTTTGGTACTAACAGATTCAGGATGGGCATAAATTCTACTACTCATAAGAACTCTGCTCCAAGAAAAAAAGGTAAAATCCTCATACTCATGTGTGTTATCTAGAGATATTTACAGATTCTCACTGGGCCACACACCTTCTGTGGCAAAGCCACAGCACAGAGCAGGTATTCATTCAGTGCCATGGAGGGTTCACACTTCAGTGTCAGAAAACAACCTCTCCAGCACTGCAGGTAAGACGGTGGTGGTGCGGTACAGTGGTATGAACACAGAGTTCACATGAATGGTGCACTAGTTTGCACATTTGCCTTCAGGTAAAGGGAACTGCATCCCTAGAGAAAGAGTTTCAGGACCTTTCATAATCAAAGAATATAGAACGAGATCTCTGTGTGGGCATAAATATACATATATGTGTGTGTGTGCAGCTGTTACAAGTAAAAATGATAAGATTTTGTGCTTGTAAGGTTAAACAAATAACAAATACACTACAAGTGAAACATCATTCAGCTTTAGTATGTCTCACTCGATTGTACGTACTTAGTAACTGCAGAACCGTGCCCTAGGGCGGAGTGGACAGCCGTCAGGACCGAATCCAAAAAGCGTAAAGCTAAAACTTGAGATCTTTTCACCCAGTATACAAATTAAACGGGGTCCCTGAGCAGTAAAAGCAACGATGCACTTCCCTGCTTTCTGCCTGGGACCCAGAGCCATGCTGAAAGCTGTAGTTTGGAAGAGAAGTTCATGCTCTTCCAAATGTTGATCTAGACATAACGTATCCTGTGTCATATCCAAACAAATGATATTCATGGTTTCTCCAACCCATTTGTTGCAACAGCTCACAAAACAATTGCAAGCAAATGTTTAACGTTGGGACATGCTTGACACTGGGACCAATTCTAGGTTGTATAAACAGGGAAAGCACTGAGTATACACAGTGAAGTATGTTGTTTCAGTACTGAAATACTCCATTAACTCTGGTGTGTGCATTTTGAAGGGAAAAGAAACAACAATCATACAAAGTGCAGGAGACAACTGGACAGAGAGAGCAGGCAGGACCCGGAGGGCTGTTAGCCCGGGGCTGTGTACCACTTCCATTCCATTTTGGATTCACGAGCAATATGTGAATAGCCTCGCAGGAAAAGCCAAACTACAGTCTTTCAAGCCAGGGTACCGAGGTACTGACTCTTGCCCTAACATCTCCAGTCATGCCAAAGAAAAGACACTGCCAGATTTTCCCTGTAAAGAGCATTTTTGCCTCCTACCCTATCAGCAGTATATTCCATTTCATTTATTACACAAAGAATGGATTTCCATTTAGGATGGTGCGACTTCTCATTTTATGATTTTCTCCTCTTTGTGTTAAACTTAAAGAACCTACAACTTAAAAAAAAAAATAAATTCATTATCACATTAGGTACATTTGTCTGTCTTTTCAGTTTAAAATGACTTAAACCCTGATAAAATTCCATTGCTCTGGGATAGATTCTGATACTCTCCTTTGTCTGTGAATAGCGAACACAGTAGTATTTTGTCACTACTACTTCCTCACTACTACCACCACTACTTATTGTTAAATATAAGCGAACACTGCAAAAATATTAATAAAATTATTAATAATAACCTCTCTTTTCAGGGGCTCAACAAACACAGGAAGAAACAGTGACTCCAGAATCAGTGTTGCATAATGCTTTTTCTGGCAGGCTTGTTCAAATTTTGGGTACATGGCTGAGAAATTATTCCTTCCTGCTGCGCTAATACGCATTGTCTTTTAAATCCCAAGCATTTTACCAACTGAGCTGCTTTTTCTACTCTGGAGGACAACAATGTCACCAGCTTCTTGTATCTTCGAGCATGGTCTGCCTCTCTGCATTTGAGGAAATTTCAGTGAAGAGGAACCTGTCAAGGGGATTCTGAACTCTAAATACCGGGGACAAGAAAATAGATAAATGTCTGTAACACCCCAAAAATCTAAAGGAGTTTCTGTGTCAGCTAAATGGTGAAAATGGAAGCCGTATGTCCTTAACTCGTAGAAACACAGCATTTTAGACAAGAATAATAAATTATGCTAAACAATCTCTTTGGCTGTAACTCTAGCCTGGAGGCTCTGCGAACATCCCCTCCTCATCTGCTGACTGCACAAACTGACTGCAAAAGGCAAGACTCGAGTACACACCCCTGGCCTGTTTTTCTCCCTAGCACTCTGACACGAAGCCTGGACTCCCAGGCTAGACAGGAACACGCTGTCTTCTAACCTGCTGTCTGCCCTGTGCAACCCGAGGGGCACATTTAGACATAAACATTCAATCCAAAAAATGTTCTTTGCTCAAAAAGGAGACTAGGACACAAATTTTCATATTTCAGGTCAAGGCCAGAGAATGGGGGACACAGTGTGGGTCATCCCACCTTTCTCTCCTACTGTCTGTCACAGTGTAGAAGACAAAATCGGACGAGTATGCAGCTGAGCAAGGCTGGCAGTCACAAACCACACAGGCAACGTGGTTCCTGTGCTGAAACATCACACAACTAGCCAGGCCTTAAACACAAATACAGTAAAAAGAAACCCAAATTTCTTTATAGGTGTCCAGCTTTGCCATCTTTTAAAACACATTTGTCATGATCTTCCCTATTCTACAGAATAAACTTTGCATACGCAACTTGACACTGAGTCAGTGGTTTCCATACCTCGTAACCAAGATCTATAAATAATGATCCAAAGTGTTTTGTTGGTAAGGAATTTTTTTTTTTTTTCCTGAGGCAGAGAACAGAATGGAGCAAGAGACAACTTGAATTCAAGAGTTAAGATGGCACATTTAGAAGGACAGAACTCAGCACAATCTGAGCACACTGGCAAGCCACATTTGCTTTCCAGAGGACTGACCATCACAGAAACACTGAGGAGTCAGGAGATCTGAGGCCAGACTCCTTCTAGGAGATGTGTTTGGAGCCTAGAATTTACTTGGAGAAGCAGTTTACAAATTGCAGAACCTCCTTCCAGGGTAACGACCCTCAGAGAAGAGCTATTAATTAACATCTTATACCCCTCTTCTCTCCACAGACAGGGCATCCCCTGTTCTCAGAGATCAGCATTGGAAAGAGGACTTGAAAATTCAGTTCCTCACAGAACACCAAAAGACCTGAGACAAGTACACTATTATCAACTTCCTTCAAACTGAAACTCCCCTTTAGATTTCAGAATTGACTTGCAGAACATAGAATTTATGGATTTTTTTCTTTTGCTTATGCTAGTCTTAATTTTAGATGAACCATTAAAATTCCAGCTCACCTGACCTCATACTATTTGGCTTCAGCTTTGTAGAGGCATGTTTAACAAAAGGACGAAAGACTTTTTTGTTTCTTACAGCACCTGACAACTGAAGATATTTTAGCCATTTACCTGTGAGATTTGGTGCAATCAGAGCGCAGAGGAAGAAGCAGATGAGCTTTAGTGACATTTCGCTCACGCTTGTCGCCTTTTCCCACATTCATACCCTGTTGTGCAGCTCAGAAATTTCTCTTCCTAGACAGGGAGCCCGTTCTGGGCCAGCCATGATGCCAGCGAAGTGGAGACTCCAGGAGAATACTGCAACCACCTCTCCTCTACCCATCCGTGCCAATGCCAGAGTTGTACCTACATTGTTTGTAAGGGTGTAGTTACAGGGAGTGCCGGGGTGATCTGATGCCAGCATTTCTTCACAGGTCTGTGCAGCTGCCCAACTAGATGGCATAACTCTCTCACTTAGTTCGCAATTATATGTATTAAACACATTATATGGAGGAAACAGGATTCATTGGATATTTCCATGTAGCTTATATAGCTGTAAATGCTCAGCCCCCAAACTAGGTAAATCCTGATGCTTCCAAGCACCAGGCAGGTCCCCAGGATTATTAAGGCGTGCCTGTAAGCACAGACCTCGCACAAAGGTGCCTCTGGGCTGGCACAAGGGACCTGTGTGCTCCTATTTATCTTCAAATACTATTTTTAGGGCAGCTGTGTTGGGCGCGTACTGAGGAGGACTGTCTGTTCTCAGATCTGACTTGGTGCAGGCACACGTCTTCCGAGGTTCTTCCATCTTCCAAGGTCCATCACTCTCCATCTCAGCTCTTGAGCAGAGGCAGGTCTTCAGCTGGGTGCAGCCCTGAGACCTGCTTAGAAACTCAAACCGCTTGCTGGCTCCAAGGCTGCAGCAGCAGCTACCTTTGTGCTTGTAAGGCTGGTTTCTTCAAAGGCCAAGGGAAAGAAAAAGTTTGGCGGAAGCTTCTTATGTTCTGCAAAAATTAAATTAAATTCTGACTGTACGGATAAAG